ACAGCACTGCTTCCTCCTCCCTTGCTGGAGGAGAGGGGAGCTAGTTGGTGAGATGAGAGCCCGCAAGCTCTAGGTCATGGGCCCACAGCAACACGAGAAGGACGAGATGGGAAAAGGGAGGCAGAAAGAAAAACGCCTCTTCAGAAAACCAAAAAAGGGAGTATCTATTATAGAGAAGGCTCAGGGGTTGTGGTGATGTCAGCCCTTTCAGGTGCCTTTCTTTAGGGAAGGACTGCTCTCCCTCCGTGTTCCAAAGAGAGAGAGCTGTAGGCACCGAGCTTCATGCCTCCCATAGGAGCATCTGAACCACTGCCCAAGTGCCTCCACACAAAAGACTTGCTCTGCTTGGGTCTCCCAGCTCAAGCTATGATGGGGTTGCTCTGAGGTCAAAAGGAGGCCCCAAGATTGCTGGTACCTGTGTGAGTGCCCTCAGAGGCTGCTGGGGCCCTGCCTGCCTCCAGCGCCAGAGGGGACTTGCTGCTGGCTGGTTTGGACTCCTCAGGCAGCTGTGGCTCTTGAGACTTGTGGGTCTGAATCAGCTCTGGCTGCGTCACCCTAATCAGCTAAGAACAGAACCCAAGCTCAGAGGAGTGAAGGCAGACCCCAGCCACTCCCTTAGACAGCAAAAGGCCTTGGCTCTACCTGTTCGCTCACAAGGAAATACAACAGACAAACACAAATCTCCTTTTAGAACTTATTCTCCCTTCTCACCCCAAGTCCCAGCTTTTCCACAAGGAAAGCAAAGGTCACTTGAAGCTCAACAGACCCACAATAACGAGTGATCTGGGAACTAGAGACACATGCCCCAGTGCGGAGAAGAGGGATGGCATGAGGGGTACCCACCTGCTGCAGGGCCTCCAGTACTGTCTGACGGTTCACCTTTAGCACATGCAGCCTGGCCTCATACTTGATCCTGCGGTCGGGCACCACCGCCATCAGGTTGAAGCGGATGTCATGGTAGGGCTCCCTGCAGTCACAGCCGCAGCCGTGAGAGCAGCTCCCAAACCAGCTCCGCCATCAGGTGGAGGCAAACAATCTGGCAGGGCTCCCTGAAGTCACAACTACAGCCAGAGGTGCAGGTCCCACCCCAACAGGCGGGCAGGAGCTAGCAATGCACACCAGGCACCTGAGCACCTGGTGCCTTCCAAGGAGCTGTGTGAGGGGCCTGTCAGGAAGTGAGCCAGGACACTGGACCACATAGGGCTCCACAAGGCCTGCCCCTCCCCAGCCTGTCCCAAAGCAGGCCATAGGCAGCCTGGGTGAGAAATTGGGCAAGGAGGTGGAAGCCCAAGATCTAAGCTTGACCTGGCCGGACTCATCATGTGGCCTTGCATGAGTCATTTGGCCTCTCTTTGCCTTCCCTTTTCTGTGGCCCTCCCGATGGGGGCACGGCTCCAGAGGGTAGGGCAAGCACAGAGCCCTTACCCTGCGGTGGCGAGGCCGATACGCTCCATGATGACCCGCCGGGCCTTGTCTGTCCACTCCTCATCCTCCCCCCAGGGCCCTAGGGAAGACCAAGATGAGGAATCAGCAGGTGGTGAGCCCTGAGTCTGGGCCGACCAGGAGCAGGAAGGAAGATGGAGAGCAGCTGAGCCAGGGCGTCTGGGGTAGTCAGGCAGTGCAGTGCAGGGTGCCATCTAGCCAGAGACAGATGTCCTCAACACCCAGCCCCCTGCCACTGGGTCCCAACACCTGAGGACCCTAAGGCCTAGCTCCCTAGAAGGTAAGCAGAAAATGGGCCCCGAGCCCAGAGTGCCTACCATGGTCAATGGGGTAGACCTTCAGCCCATCCAGCTCAAAAAGCCGGCCTGTGATAGGCACATAGCTGACAAAGTGGAATGCCTCCATGGTCCGCACTGCACTAAGGCCATTCTGCTTCTCAGGGAGGTGGCGTGGCTCAGGCCTAGGGAAGAACACACTCAGGGCCCAGGATGAGACAACCGCTCCTCACCCCCACTCCCATCAGCTCCCACAGCTCCCACACACCTGGCATGGCTATTATGTGCTTTGGCCAACTCTGGGGCATTGCCAATCGCATATCCTTTGCTCTAGAGAGAAGAAAATAAGATGACATCATAACAATTTCTCAGGTGGGCGGGCCTCTGGGTGGGAAGCAAAGCTCAAAAGAACAAGCCTGGAGGCATTTTTAGGAGCCTGAAGAAGCATAGATGGGATCCTGAAAGGTTAGTGTGGACAGGAAAGAACTCTGGAGCCCCAGAAAGATGGGGTTAGTCTTATGTTAGTCCGGTAATGACCGGACACTGGAGAATAACATGGCCTGATAAAGACCTGACAAAGAAAGTCCCGACATAGTGTCACTTAAGGAATGTTCCTTTCTTCCTTCAGTCTTTCCTGGCAATTGGGTCTAAAATTTAAGGGTCAAATGTAATGTACGTCACTTGAAAAGGAAATGGCCTCATAGTGTCAAATGCAATGTGGTAGCACTGGGAGTCAGATCTGCCCAGTAAGCTATGAGCCAGGATTCAGGCACTGCAGCTTACCTCAGGGCTGAAGCCTTTGGTGAAATCCTTCATGCGACTCAGGGTGGGACCCAGGTCCACATTGCTGCAGTTCAGGAGCACGCTCAGCAGGGCATGAGTGGCACAAGAGTTGGGGATCAGCTGTGAAACCAAGAACAGTCACTCATACAGAGTCATTCACCCCAAGCCATGCTCATTACAAATGGGGACCCAGAGAGGGACAGTCATATCTGGATAACAAAACTCATCAACTTCCCTCATCTCCATCCAACATTTGTTCATTCAACTAAATACCCACCAGGTGTCTGAGGACATACAGAGTGGACTCAGACACCACGCTGCTCTAAAGATACTCCCTTTTTTAATGAATAAGAGCTCAGTACCTTCTGCCAGGGGACTTCTATAACCACCACTCCTGGTATCTGCCTATCTCCTTCTGCTTTCCCCCACTCCCATGTCCCAGGCAAAGACAATAGCAGCATCCCACCCTCCAGTTGGAACACAGAGCCGAGCAGACCTGATGGGCAAAGAACATGTTATTCACAATATCATCATCAATCACAGACGTATCATCCACCAAGGTAGAGACCTTGCGACGGGATCGGCGCTCTTCGATCCATTTGAACAGGAAGATGAATCCATACACTGGGCTGGGGAAAAGTAAGGGGCAGAGCTAGACCAGCCAAGTGGGGGAAAGCAATCAGCATTCTCTTTCTTTTCCCTCCTATTCCCATGCACCATGTTACCACTCAGGTGCCCTTCCCGTGATCCCACCTCTACCCTGGCTTCTTCTCAACACTGACTAAAGTGGCCCTGAGCCCTCACACCCCATGAGCCTGCTGCAGGCAGAGTCAAGCCTCAGCTTCTGGCTGTGATGCTCCAGAGGTACATCCTGTGTCCTCATGAAGTCTGTGGTTCTGGGATAAGAGATGAAAAGCTGGAGCCCATGGCCCAGGACAGGGTAGGACAGAAAGTGAGACAAGAAGACAAATTCTGATGGAGGAATTTAAACACTAATTCTCATTGTGAACCCCAAGGCCTGGGCCCCAGTGTAGTCAAGAAAGCAAAGGAACACCCATCAGTCCCTTCTTTTCTGGGAGATAAAAACAGACCTCTCCGTTCATGCATGGTAGTCCCTCCATACCTCTATTCTGTAGGACCACCAAGACAAAGGCCCTGAGTGAGGCTGGTCACCCAGGAGGGGCCTCCTCAGATGCCACACACCAACCAATCAAAACCTTTGTGAAGGGATTAAAGCCACCCGCACACCGGCACGTGAAAGCAGCAATTAATAAATTACAGCAGGCACTGCGTGACCTGAATCAAGAAAAAGGGCTGCCTTCCTGCTCTAAGACCAGAAAAGGCAGCTGAACTGTACTCCAAAGGATGGTTAGATTTGTACTGGGGGGGGGGGGGGGGGGGGGGGGGGGG